TTTAATAAGTTGTACTTATGCATAATTTACTTGTAATATTAAATTTTAAGTAATATGCATTAATATACAATACTGTATGCATAAAAAATAATTTTTAAAAATTTTTACCAAATGTTTTACAACATAGTATAAAAGTATTGATTTAGTATTAAAACTTGCAACAAAAATACATCCAAATATATACGAAGAATATTTTTATTGATAATCAAAAAATAATCTCTTAACGGTTTATTTGGACCGGTTTAACTCGATCGTTTCGCTTGATCATCTTTAAAGGTGTCTACGATGCCGTGACCCAGTGTAATCGAACTGCCTTCTAGCTCGATCTTGCGAATACTAACCCTAACCCTTTACACCCAATCACCCATGGATGATCTTCAGGCAACCTACAAAGAAGACCAAGAAGAAGACAACTCATACAACACCAATACAAATGGCAACACCAGCGACGTTAATCCAGGAATGGCGGATCCAAAACCAGAAATCGTCACCGCCACCACCACTACCACTATCACTACCACCGCCGACGAAGCCCTAACCGTCCCCACCACCACCACTATTACCACCACTTCCACGACCTCCGCAACCCCCGATACTGATTCCGGCACCAAAGATGACCCGATTCCCTCGGAAGAACTCTCAGACCTTGAACCCACCCCTAAAGACTCGCCTAATTTCACGAAAATTATGTCGTCCGAAGACGAAGTAGAAGACAATGAAGAGCGTCCGGCGAAGAAGCATAAGAGCATCTCGTTACTAGCACCGCAACTCGAAGAAGAATTATCTCAAGAAGTTGCGGCAGCAACACCGGTGACGCCGATGCCCCCACCTACCGAAAAGCCTAGCGGTAAAAAGTCAACTAACAGCAATAAGAAGAAAAAGAGCAAGGGCAACAATGTGTGGACAAAGCCATCGTCTCGAAAGGGGAAAAAGAGAACCAAGAGTACCACCAGCACCACTGCTCAAACAGAGGACTCTGTTTTGATTACTCCAATTCATCGGTATCCTGACAAGAACGACGATACTGCAGATATGAAAATTTGTCTTTCGAAGGTTTACAAGGCGGAGAAAGTAGAATTGAGTGAAGATAGGTTGAGTGCAGGTAGTTGTAAAGGGTATAGAATGGTGAGGGCTACTAGAGGGGTTATGGAGGGAGCTTGGTATTTTGAAATTAAGGTGGTGAGCTTAGGGGAAACAGGGCATACGAGACTCGGGTGGTCTACTGAAAAGGGGGACTTGCAGGCGCCTGTTGGCTATGATGGGAACAGTTATGGATACAGGGATATTGATGGGAGCAAGGTACATAAAGCTTTAAGGGAGAAATATGGGGATGAAGGATATGTTGAAGGTGATGTAATTGGGTTCTATATCAACCTGCCTGATGGGAATTTGTATGCGCCAAAGCCACCACAATTGGTTTTGTACAAGGGACAAAGATATGCATATGCTACAGATGCAAAAGAAGACCCTCCTAAAGTTGTTCCAGGTTCGTGACTTTATGTTTGTTTTTTAATGTTCAGTTGAGGTTGTTGGGCAATATGTGCTTATTAGTAGGGTTGTTTTTTTTCCTCCATTGTTCCTACTTCCTACAGACATGTGTTTCTGGATCATCAGCAATTTGGCAGTTGAGATATTAGCGTATTATCTAGCATTTGTTCGGGCATTATGTTATATTTGCTATCTGTTATCAGGATGTAGTTTATTAGCTTTCTTGTACTTTTAGGTGATCTAAACTGGCGAGATCACGTTATTTTTCTTTGTTTTAGAAGGTTCATCTTGTTTTAATTCTTTTTAGTTTCCCAAGCTTGATGTAGCTCTTCTTGATACGTGGGTTATAGGCTGTAGTGTGTACTCGAATTTTTTTTGTTATAATTTTCTTGTATGATCTATTAAATCTTTATGGCTCGAGCGAAGTTTAATATGCAAATGAAAATACAACATACACTAGTCTATCATTTTAAGCCTTCCAGTGGGAAAGTTTATTTTGATGCAGCAGCATGTTAATGGAGTATTTGGTAGAAGCCACAGTCAGGGAGATGCAACCATATTAAGTAGCGAAGGAATAGTAATGGCATGAAGGAGAAGGGATGTCAGATTAATTGCCCATTTTATATGCTGATTAGATAGGATGAGGTATCACTGGATCCTAAGAGTGCGAAGGAGAAGTGAGAGGAAGAATGTGTGAGGACGACTAGAAAGTATCAAAATATAGAGAGAATGTTTACACCGATGTCAGTTCATTAATTGATATCTGAATGAGAATCTGGTAATGGTGGTAGACTGGCAGCAACTGGTTTAGGGTACACGAAAGCGAGAGGGAGAGTGAAAGAGGTTATGTCTGATTTCTCTAAACTAAAATTATTTTCTATAGTCAGTATATCGTATATCACTTAAAAGTGACTGAATTGCCCTTAAAAGTGATCACATGTTTAAAAATATGATTCCTACCGACTACCAGTGGAAAAGGAAAATATTGGTAAATTTCAGTCGCTTGATATTACCTAAAAGTTCTGTAAACAAGAAATGGATAAATTTGTGGTAGAGGATCAGATTTCAAACCTGAACATACTTTCAAGGCCATTTGAATTTTATAATTTATAAATTTCTCTTTTTGGAACAACCACATTTATAATCATATCTCTATTGCTAGATATCCTAATTATGGCTAGGTAAATACTTCTCTAAATAAGATTCTTAGTAAATAAATTAACACTCTTTCGAGTCATGATCATGTAATAGTATACTATAATACTTGTGCCACAAGCTAGTTACTTTCCTAATTGACCACTAATCCACTATAATTAAAATTAGGAAAATAGATAAAAGACATCATTGTAGTTTTACAAACTTTCTCATATATATACCCAAACAAAGAGTATCAATTAGTTTATATACCCAAACAAAGAGATTATCTATATTATTCTTGCTTGATGGAGGACATTTCTTCTTTTTGGAATTCAATATTTTGTAGTACTAAGATAAAGAACATTCATTGTCATCCACTTTCATATATATATTTTTGTTGTGCAGGAAGTGAAATATGTTTTTTCAGAAATGGAATTTGTCAAGGGTCTGCTTTCAAGGATCTTCATGGTGGGCGTTACTTTCCTGCTGCGTCAATGTATACTCTTCCTCATCAGAGTAATTGCATTGTCAAGTTCAACTTTGGTCCTGACTTTGAAGCCTTTCCTGAAGACTTTGGTGGACGTCCTGTCCCGAAACCAATGTTTGAAGTTCCGTATCATGGCTTTGATGGCAGAGTTCAAAATGGTGTGTCCAATGAGAAGCATTAGCAATAAGCATCAATTTACAATGAGTCTAGCAATTTTCTGCAAATGGGGTTTATTTGATTCTTCTTTTAATTGTAACTTTGTTTTTTTTTTTGGCTGTACAATTTGCAAAATTTTGGATGTGCAGAACTTACATAACTTGATTTACCATTGAATCTAGAAAATATTTATTCAAGAGCACAAATATTGTGCTTTATTTAAAGATTGACCTATCAACTTGCATTCACGCTTTCGACTTTCTTCATATTGGCTCTTTTTTATACAATGTTCATATACGTAGTTGGACCTTCTCTTTTATCTGTTATTAGCGAAATTTGACTGGGCAGCACCACTCTGCTCAGCAGGCAGTTGATGTTTTTATGTGTCTGTTTCTTGTACAGGGCAGACAAATCTACTTAATTGTACTAAGAAAGAGGACGGCCGCCACGTAGTTAGTCTTTGTGATATAAGTTTCTTTCTTCTTGCAGGCAATCCTTTGGTTCCCACTAGAATGTGCCCCATGCTGAAAGTGGTAAAAGAGAATGACGATTGACATCGCTGAAGCGGATGGCATATAAGTTGATAGTTGGGCAGATTTTTCAGGTTGGTTATTTTTAATCAATGAAACATAAATTCTGTAAAAAAGGTAGACAGCCTTGTATCCTTCATCATCCTCTTGGTGAGAAGACTTTGAAGGGGATGAGTGCAGCTGTCTCTGTGTTATATGTAGATTATCTGTTGTATGATCGAGTAAAATGTTAGCTGCTGAAGATTTAAAAAAACTAATGGTAGCTCTGTACCAGTTATGGTTCACAAGTCAATAGATGGTCTAAGTAACTAGACACGTGGACTTACACTTGTTATTCTGAGAAGACCATGGTACTTTGCCTGCTACTTCAGGGGTTTCACTAGTACATCAAAGTCTGGGAACAGATACATGATTTTAAAGATCGGAAGAGGCGTACGCCTCTCAAGTCTTGTATGGGATGCATGCTTGGTTGCATGAGGTGGAAATTGAGGCGTCCGAGGTGGGAGAGGCAGGGGCGAGGCGTATGCCTCTGCAATCTATATTTATATACCAATTTTTTATTATATAAAATCTACATAAACTAAAACCCATCCCAAAGGTGCAATGATGATCATAATCTTAGCACAAATAGTGTAGGAAGGGGGGATGTGAATACCATTCTTGAAGTTTAAATGGAAATTCTTATTAAACTTGGTACAAAGAGTTACATCAACTAGATATGTGAACTAAATTCTTAAACCATGTTAATGGTATACAAGGTTACGCTAAGATCCCTTAACAAATTTTCACAGAATGATCTAAGACTCGATTGGGCTTTAAACTTATAAGTGATCTTTGTATTTTAAAAGTAGCCAACATGTTCTTGAGGTTCACTGCTTTGGCTTCATAAAATCTCCAAATGCAGTAAGCAATAAAGTGGGAAGATAAATAGTAAATTCTTGAAGCATTAAGTGATTGGTTGATGCTTCAACTTCACAAGTGCTCTACTTTAGCTTCATCAAGGCTTTGACGCTTAGTCTTTAAAGATAACATCTTCTTAACTTCTTCAGTGTCTGCTTTACTTCGTTCATCGTCAAGGTATGTGTTAGCTTTAGGGTAACCAAGCCTTCAGTGTTTGATCTTTGCGAACGTCCTCCTTCAATGAACAAATCTTTAGCTTCAGACTTTAGTGACTTGGCTACAGATCTTTAGAAATTAAGTTCTCATCGAACTAGTACATCTGGTCTTCAGCCTCACTGAGATTCTTTAGATCTACTAATCTTCAGTTTGATCAGTATGCATATATAATCCAAGTCTTCTTCAGTGGTAAAATGTCTATCATCAAAATCAAAATACACCAAGACTGAACTGCCTTGAGGCAAGGATGGAAAACACTTCGCCTTGAGTTCCCGATACTTAAAACCTTGAACACATATAGTAAAGATGCAAGTTATACATGAATGATTGATATCCATCCTTGTCAGACCACATGTTACTCTGTTTCTCTGCAACCCCAAAAAATGTGAAATATTTTTCAGTATGATGTGCAGAAGTGGCACCCTCTGGTGTGTGGCTTCGCTTCTTTGCTCAAATACACAACAGGTTCAAGTTCGAATCCTACAGGAGACGGGCTTGAACCCCTCAGCCAACCTCAGCCGTTGAGTCAGAATGCCTCCTCACATGTGGTTCTTCCGGGTTCCTTGTGGGGTTGCCGTTAATCAACCTTTTGCTCAAATGTGCAGAAGTGTAATTTGAGGGAAAATTCTGCCTCAAATCGTAGAACTTAGTTATATTCTCAGTCATGTACCGGTATTTAGTATTTGTGTTGTAACCCTGGCCTCAGAGTGGCATTTCTAGTCATGAACTAGTATGTTGGTCCATACCAAGTTTCTAATACTAGCCATTTTTGTCGCATGGCGGCATGCGTAAAGGAAAGTTTTCTAATTGAAATGATGGTCTAGGGCTCGATCTATCCTCCGTTATTCATCTGACGTCCTCCTCAGGATCCTTTTCCAATTTATCCACAATAGGTGCAACTCCCAACTCCGCCCGAAGACATTGTTTGGTAATCTTGTCCGACATGGTCCAACCAGAGGTCCATCTAAGCATCCTCTTTACTGCAGTTTCCAACTTTTTCTCATGGGATTTCCTTGTCGTGCAGCAGTCCCACCCAAACATGATACAACGTAACTACTTTGTAGAATTTTCCCTTCGGTTCTAACAAGACGTTGTTTTCACACAGTACCCTTGTTAGCTTGAAAGATACAAATGTTTATAACTTGCTGCTAATCCATCCACATAATTCTCATGCATCATGTTAATTGTTCATTTCTTACTTATTTTTCTACTTCCTCCTTATCACATGTAATTGTTACATATGACTTGATGCATATCAATACAAGTGTTTGAATATTATGTTCAGAAAGGGCCTCATTGACCCCCTATGAATTCAAGTTGGCCTAGAAACATGTAAGTGGTTGCTTTACACATTTTAAGTGAATATAATGTAAACCAAACCAAAGTAACCCGCTATTTCCTATGCCGGAGATGAGGTCCAGGGGTGGGATATATACGTGCCTGACGTGTACTTGAACTGTGGAAACAAGGAAAGAGTTCAAAAGTGACGATCTTGATACCATAAGACCAAGGGTTGTTTACCACCTGGTAAGAGGCGCTTACCTGGTCAAAGATGTTGTTTACCAAAAATCTCTTACTGTCCATGATGTTGATCTAGTAAGCAAGCTAAGGGAGAGACTCTTACTCGGTGAGTGATTAGTGCAGACCCATGCCACGCTCTTACCTTGGTTTTTGCTTATCCAATTTGTGATGGTAAACGGAACATAGCCTATGTTTAGTAAAATACGCAACCCCTAGTCCAACCTAGGACCCTGGTAACCTATTTGTCGGCTCACTATTCCTCCCCTCTATGCTAGCCATGGGTCGGCAACTCAAATCCTGCGTACCCGTAAGCTTATTTCGAAGCAACTCATGCCACTTGTCAAGCATCTGTTCTTTCTGATGTTGTTTATGTTCATTTGATATGAAAATAACATAGAATTACAATGCCCTTTAGGTTGAATTTGAAGTACTTTAGTTTTCTGGGCTATTGATCATGGTTTGAGAAGTCATAGTAAGCAGAAAGTGGATGTAGATGTGGAGCAGACGTAGTTCTGACGTGGCATTTTTTTGGCCACATGGCATGCTGATTTGGCACATAGATGGTGCTTACATTTTGGTTTATTTAGAAAAATGAAATCCACTAGGGTCTTGCAAATTGCCACCTAGGTAAATATTTGATCAACTTATTTTCTATTGTTAAATTATTTTATTAAAGATATTTAATTTATAATTATATTAAAAAATAACATTTTAAATTATACATTAATAATTTAGTAAAGATGTTTTAACTATTATCATATCTATACTATATATATATATATATATATATATATATATATAAACCTGGATATCCGACCTGCTATGCGATCCGACTAATCTCAGGACGACCACCTGCTTTGCGGGTAACCTGGAATCACCGCATTTGAATCTCCGTGCCTACAAAGGGATTTTTATTCCTCCTTAGATTTTCATTATTAAAATGGCATTATTTGATGTTTGAAGAAAGGTTCTTTTAACATTTTTTAACGGAATAGAATTGAATTCCATAGGTTTACGCCATGAATGGAATACGTGCGCATTCATGGAAGTTGGGGGATTTTGACGAAGTTAAATTTTAGTCATGTTGTCAACTAACGATAGCTAAAGAATTTGATCGATGAAATTGACTATTCCAATTCCATACGATTCTATCAAAATCCACAAACCAAAACACCTGGAACTATGGACATTTGAAACAGAACTCAAAACCCAATACACAAATATCAAGGATCAAAAAACCAGAATCAAAATAAAAATGATGTGAAATTAAAATCAAATCACAAGCAAGAAATGCTACAATGATAAACAAGGAATCAACCCCTCAAGTAGCTGTTCATGTTTTGGTTGACTAGGATTTTTTTTATTAACCTGGAATATCCAACCCATTAGGCGAGCTGATTAATTCCAGGATGATTACCTGCTTTGCGGGTAGTCCGGAGTCACCGGATTTGAACCTCCATGGCCACAAGGGGATTTTTATTCCTCCTTAGATTTAAGCCTGAGACCTACAGACACTTTTGACAATTTGACCTTTGGAGCCCAAGCTCAAACCAATCAGGCGCCACAATAAGAAGAATTTGAAATAATTTAATTTATTTTTAATAGTGAATATGCTTTCTGTATTTTAAAAAGAAAAATAATTACAAGTAGTTCTCTTCTATTAGTTGCTTTCTTCTAAAAGTAGCATGACTATATAATGTGGATCCCGAAATCTTTCGAACCGAAATGGAACTTCATCTAGGTGTTAACCTCTCTTTCCTGTTTGCTTCGTGGTTAGCTTTAGGTTTTGGTGGTTTCTTGGTCGAAGTGCTCAATTGGAGCTTGATCCTGATCATCTGTATCGTAGTCTCGGTTCTTGACTCATCCTCATCCATTAGATCTAGATATCCTCATTCTAAGCTAATAAATGGCATCCGTTAGAATCTATGATCGTTTAGGATATGAATGAAATCCATGGGTATTTAGACTTTCTTAGCAAAATATATTATTTGCATTCTATCAAGGCTTTTAGCAAATTAAGCTGCAAGCTAACAATCAGTACAGGGTCATGCCTGACGATGTTCCAATGTGAGATATAAAACAGGTTCTGCAAATTTTTTGAGACCCAATTATACATGTTTTAACCTTTATCAAGTTATATATATATATATATATATATATATATATATATATAGACTTGGGATCATGTGAGACCAACCTATTTTCGTGAGACCCGTGAGACCAACATTTTACACTTGAAACTTCACAGCAAAATGCTGTGAAGGTGACTTTTTAAAACCTTCACAGTGTTTTTGCTGTGAAGGTTCGACTTCTTTTAAACCTTCACAGTGTTTTTGTTGTGAAGGTTACGTGTAAAAATGTGGTCTCACGGGTCTCACGAAAACAGGTTGGTCTTACTTGAACCCAACCCTATATATATATATATATATATATATATATATATAAACCTTTAGACCAATTATAATTTTTAGGTTTGTACTCTTTTAACCAATTTAGGGATCATTTACCAAATGCTTATCAGATAAGTGCTTATCGAGTGTACCTTGCCTTGGTAGGTGGGCATGGTAAGGACCAAAAATCTTACTCGGTAAATGACATAGCAAGGACCAATAAGCTTTCCTGGTAAGTGAGGTAGAAGATTCTTACCCAGTAAGCGCTTACCGGGTAAAGACGCTTACCGACAATCTATTTTGATGGTAG